CATTTACCACTATAGCACGATGGAGACGGATATGCCAGGGGATGTTAAAAGTCAAGTGTTTTTTATTCGTACGTAATTAAATAAAGACAAATTTTTTTTTTTGAATTTTAGTGTGTTTTATTAAGTAAGGTTAGGTTAAGTTAGGTTAGTTATTAATTGATAAGTATCGTAGAAAAAAATAATTTTCACGATGAATGCTTATGTCAAATAATCGTATAGCAACTCTTAAAAAATAATCATAGATCCGCCCCTTTATAACGGTAACTAAACAATCAAGGCTGGTTCGCTTCAGCTCTTTCAGGACCCAGCATAAAAATTATTTTAACGTCTTCCCTCCTAAACATATAAACAGACAGATTAGGTGGGCTGGAGAGGCTAAGTCCTATTCATAATCAAAAATGCCCACAGTAATTTTTCAAACGTGTACACTTGTCGAAATAGTCATTTATTATAAAATCATTTTAGCTTAAATCTTTACTTTTTGAAATTCTATGTATTTTAAACCGAAAAAAAAAACAAAACCTAACGATTTGGTTAAATTTCAATATTCAACTAATATTTCGTGATATTGATATTTTTAAATCGTACAATGAACGATATTTAAAGCTTAAAATTTGTTCGTTTCGATTTGTTTTATTCCAAAACACAATTTTGAAGTCACTGACAAAGTGTAGGTATATTTTTAAAAATTGAATTTTTGAATAAAATAAATCAATATCAGCCATTACTGGTGATAAACGAGTAAAATTAATTTAAATTTTGACTTACAAAAACTAAATCATACTAACTAAAAAAATATACAAACACAACACAGGTACTATAGGTTTTAACAGCCAAACATATTTTTATATAAATCTAGTTAAATGTAGTCATTTTTTTTTGTTTTTATTGAAATTATTGAATATAAGCAAAAATTGTGTATTTGTCCAAGCATTGAAATACTGAATATTGAACGACTCTCTGTTCTCCCGAAACCTATAAAAATAAATATTTTCATGAAGCACAGCGAGGAGGAATCAGTAAATAAAAATTAGCATATTGTTTTTTTTACGTACCTTTACTATATTAACTCAACTATATCTGTGTTTTCTTTTCATTCTTCCTTTTTTTTTTTATTTCTTGATAATATTTTGTGCAAATTTTTAGAAGGGTAACCCGACCACCTCTTATTGTTTGTCACTGACTACACGATCCCTGAATGGCACATTGTTGTTATATAATAATAATATACTTATCCAGTGAACATAATAATAATAATAATAATAATAATAATAATAATAACAGCTTGCGTATATCGATGGTTATAAAAGGCTAAAAGTTATTGTATATCTACGTCATAAAAACGCCAAATTTTACAGCGAGAAAGCTGTTTTTATAAAAATATCTCGAGAATCGCCGAATGGTTATAAAATATTTACCACGTCTCAAAAGTTTTCGATATTTTGTGTAAATTTCAGGTTTTAACGATTATTTTTAACCGAAATACATAAAAAAAAAAAAAAAAAAAAAATAATAAAAAAAGATAATAGGGACGGGTGCAGCCACTACTGTAGGTGGGAAGTTGAGAAGGTAGATTATATATAGAAATTGAATGTATATCTGTAAGCAACGATAACTATTGCTTACGAAAAAACGATTTTGAGCGGAGTTTAATTAATAGTGATGCTTTGTCAACAATATATATGTCATTTTGTAGTAAAATAATTAAATAGGCTTTATATATTTTCTTTATGTAATTTGTTTAATATTGTACTAATTTTCCCAGATTTCCTACGTTTATCCCAGTTTTCCCATGTTTTTTCCAAGTATTTCATATTTGCTGGTAAAACTCTTGAGAAAATCAAAAAATGATCTCTTTAAAGTACCTTCCTAGTAAAATTTCCTTTTAGAAATATAACTATCATTAAAAGTTAGAGCAAAATTGTCGGTAGAAAAGTTGTGCACAGAAAATAAGACCATAATATATTTAGTATAACGCTTGTATTATACTAAAATCAATATATTCTATGCTATTAGCCACGCTTGGAAACGAAAAATATATAGTAACATGTATACATATACATAAATAATATCGTGTGACGAACAATTTAAAACAAATTTAATCTCTAAAATTATAAGTTTTTTTGTATTATATAATACTTCGGGGAGAATGAATTTCTGGTGTGAATTTCAGTCGATTTATTTGATTATTAAAAAACATTTAAAACAATTTATAGTTTTCTGAAAATAAAAAAGTTGTTTAAAAAATTTAAACAGATTTAGAACAACGATTTTTTATTAGTGTTATTATTTTTTTGATAGTAATTTTATACACGTAAGGTTAAATTGATATACTTTTGAATTAGTTGTACCTCGCAGTTTTCTACTAGACTTTGATAATTATTGCGGTCGCTGCCGTCGTCGCATTTCCAAATTTACTAAAACGATTAAAACCTCTTCCGGTGGTGCTTCTGACTAACAATGTACTATTATGTAAACAAATTGTTAGTTTTATAGACGAGTAGATTATCTCTACACGTTGTGAACGCACTCGTGAAGTTTTTGCTCTCGAGCAACCTGCAAATAATAATAATAATACAAAACAAAAAACCATTAACACAAACAACTCGTGTGGATTAAACCGGCTTACCACCGTGAACAACATGAGTGTTGTTAATATTATAATATTTACAGTATTACATTTAATCCTAAAATGAAAATAATTTACGTGTTTTAGAAAAACGCATATCATTCTCGTTATAATGTGTGAAACAAATCGTATTATCGTTTATATAGCTATCTAAATGAAACCTATAGATTTAACGTGGAATAGTTCCGTCAAATACAAAGCACAATCGAACAATATTAAGCACACTATTTTTGGCATATTACTTGTAGAACAAAGCGAAAATCACCCAAAATCTAAAGGGTACCTCATTAAAAATACTGAATGTTTACATACAGATTAGCTAGATTTAGGGCCTATTTTTATGCGTTATAGAAAACTCAATGCATATAACACAGAATTATAAAGTCTGTAATGACTAAAAATTACTTTATAGTACTTATTCCAACGCTCAAAATTAAAAAATATATCATAGTAAAACCAATAAATCCTTCGATATCCTTTGAATCTAAAAAATATACCTACTATTATGGTAACTGGTAATCTTTGTTGTACTGTAAACCAAGACCCACTCATTATCGGTCTATGGTATTGACTATTAACAATGTTTATTGTCATTTACGAGTACCTATATTATAACGAAGACGACATAGTGATGACAATAATAATAATAAAGATTATTTAATGTATACCTGTTGTAAGCAACAATAAACCATTGCTTACGAAAAAACGATTCTGAGAGGACTTCAGTTGATAATGATGTCAACAATATATATGTCACTTTATAATAAAATAATTAAATAGGTTTTGTATATTTTCTTTGATAATATTTGTCTAATGTTGAACCGTTTTTCCCGGTTTTCTCATGTTTTTTGTCGGTATTTCATATTTGCTGGGAAAATTCTTGAAAAAATCGGAAATTGATTTCCTTAAAAGTACCTTTCTCCACATCGATTTCCTTTCAGAAAATGTGCTACACGTAGAAATCTGAGCAAATCTTCCTGCAGAAAAATTGCGCATAGATAAAAAAAAAAAATAATAAACATCTTTGTAAAACTATAAGCTTCTTCGCTCTACTCAGAATCTAAAAAATGATCAATTTATTAAATTAGTTATTCGAGTTTTTCTTAACTTATATGGAGCCGTATTTTATGAACGGGAATCTAATTTATTTTGTTTTTATTGCGAAGTATTACGAGTAAATATAAGTATTTGTAAATATTTTTATATTTAATATTAATTGTTTTAGTAGCACTATGTTATATAGTTATTGACTGTCGTTGTTCGACACATTAAACCAGACGACAGTAAGTATATTTCTGAAAGAATAATATTGACTTCCCGTTCATTATAATATGCAAATAGATAATCATGATATAAATATATATTTATTTTAGTGGGTTTTTTTTCTACGCAGTAAGTACCGTCTAATTCGAATGCATCGCAACTTCCTAAAAAAAACATGAAAAAAATTTTAAATTATACAGGCAAGTATAACTATATAGATGTGGCCAAAAGTCGCGCAAAAAGTTTGCCAGATAATTCACTTACCACGGAAGATATCGTTGTTGTCAAGTTCGATCTTGACTTCTTCAAGCATTTCGAGGTATTTGGGACCGTTTACCGTGTCGTCGTGAAAGTAAGGACCGATTATGGTGTAAGAACAGATGCCATACAAGACGGTAGGCGTTGCGCGACTTTTGGCCACCTCTGTATAATAATATGGCGACGTTAATAAAACGACAAGACTGCAGTTTTTTCTACTGAGATAAAATAGTGTATTATTAAATAGCAAAAGTGCTCGAAAATTTAAAACGAGGATTATTGTAAGTTTTACTTATAGCGGTAAGAAAAACAAATTAAGTAATCTAAAAAGGGGTTGTTTTTAGTTAGTGCAAGTTTACATTATAAACAATAATAATATCGGGTTACCGATAAACATTGTGTTCACAATATAGTATTTAAGTGAATCATATTTTTAAGTACCTACCCAGTGCACTTTACTCTAGGAAAGTTAAATAATTAGCGTTCATCTTGTATGGCGATACTGCAATCGCCAACAAGAGACCAAAATTACAAAAGAAATTCGTGCTACTTACATATTCTACAAATATCAATAATTGTCATTATACGAGTCTAATAAAATAACTCAGCAACTCGACAATATGGCTATTACGGACAGTGAAAACTTCCTTTTTTTTTTTCGTTAGTCAACTTTGTGCATGACCTTTATTTATACTCTGTAGTGATTTCAAGTTGCTCGCGATTAATTATTTCCAAACGGATTGTACCATCTTGTTTTGTTCATCATAAATGTGTAGATCGATTGAGGATTTTTCTTTTGTGTAGGAATAGTCAGTAGTAACTTTACTAGGAGATATAAATGATCAACGCAATATTATTTATAAGTTAACAATTAGCAATTCTTTATTGGAAACATTAAAGAAGCTGAATTGTACAACGGGGTTAAAATTAATTTTAAATTAAAAGAATTTTCATTGAATAACACAGTTATCATTATGATAAATTGTTTTCATATAAATAAAACATTGTTTTACACACTAATAAATACAGACAGGCCGCGTATTGGTGTGTGGTGTGTCGCAATAATGATGGTGTACAGTTAATATAATAATATAATATGTTTGATGCTGCCGGTTGGTGTGTACGTGTTTTATGATACATTTGAAAAATTAAAATTAAAATTATTGTAATTTTTTTTTTTAAATTTTATTACAAATAAATTAAATTTTGTTTAGAATTCGCCGTCTGGGTGGAGGTCGAATCTGGGTGGGAAGGCAAATCCATCGAATTGTGGTTTAACGGGCGGCCTGTGTCCCTATAAAAATAAACAAAAATTAAATAAAACATTGAAATAAAATCATTTTTGAACGTTTGCCATAAATTAAAAATACAAAGTCAATAATATTTTACGTCCAAGTCGTATGCGATGACGTTTATCGGGTTGATATACATGCATACAAAAAAATCCATAAACGATTGTATATGCAATTTATTTTTAAGATAATAATCGACTGACATCGCAGATCTAAATAAATGCGGTAGTTAAAAAATGGATATTTGGTTAAGGTTTAAAAAAAAAAAGTTGATATTTCAAAATTATCAAACAATTAAATGCTAGTTATTAGGATTGGACTGTGTCAGATGGGTAAATGTGCGGCTTAAATCGGTGAAAAACATACTAATCGAGTACTTAAGTAACTCGTCAACTACAAATCCGACTATCCGACTTACAAATTAATAAATAGATAGAATCAAGGGTTTACTCCAATGGTAGCACCTTTCGTGGCTTTTGAGGCTGGAATAACAATGATTCTATTAGCTTATATTCAAAACCAACGTGTGTCATAAAATTGAGATATTTTCGAATAAAACGCATTTGAACAAATAAACGGGAGAATTACTACGTTTTATTTACATTATATTGACAAATACATCCACAAGATGTATTATCGCTTTCAATAATGTCGAATGTTAACCAATCTCAATTTTATGATATATTTATTGTTTTTTTTTTCTATTTAGGTTTATGGTTTCTAGTTCTACTGCGTTATTTATTGTTAATGACATGTCTAGTGTCACGTGTAAAAAGTTAAGCTTAAGAAAATAATATTAAATTTTAAGGGTACACGAATAATACTTACAATTGGGCTTCCGCCTCGTGCTGTGGATCCCGATCTGCCTTTTGTTCTGAACTTCGCGATTGCCTGTTCAGCAAGATCAGCTCTTTCTTCAGCTTCTTCAAGTTCTTGTTGAGCCTTACGGAACTTGGCCAAGTTAAGTGCTGCAATTTCTTCAGCCTCTTCGATCTGCCTCTTGTACGTCTTGATCTTTTGTTGCAGTTTGTCGACTAAATCTTGCATGCGTTCGTGGTTCTTTCTGTCTTCATCTCCTTGGAAGCTGAGCTCCTTGATTCTGCGTTCTGATTTCCTTAGGTTCTTTTGCGCATCGGCGTGTCTGCGTTGTTCACCGTCCAATTCATTCTCCAATTCTCGTACCCTTTGTTCGAGTTTTTGAATGGCTTTCTTACCACCTTTCAATGCGTTGTTTTCGGCTTCATCTAATCTCACCTAATCATAATAAATTTAAACTTTAAACAATGATCTAAATATAATTAGTATTGGAACTTAAAAAAAAATATACCTATACTATTTAAGATACATTTTATTTAGGTACATTCATTAAAAAAAAATAAAAATAAATTACTTGTAATTCCTTGATTTGTGTTTCAAGAGCTTTTCTGAGTTTCTCTTGTGTTTGAGCGTGGTCTTGTTCGGCTCTAAGTTCATCAGCAAGTCTGGCAGCGTCTACCATTGCTTTCTTGGCTTTTTCTTCAGAGTTCTTGGCTTCATTCAATAACTCATCCAAGTCAGACTGTATAAAAAAATAATATATCATAATTATAATTTCTTAAAAAAATAAATAGAAATAAACCGTATTACGTGTAATGTTTGTAGTTCTCCTTCCAATTTCCTTTTGGCGGCGGAAATAGAGGTAGCTTGTGCGGAGAGTTCATTGAGCTGTTCATGAGCATCGGCCAACTCTTGTTCGACTTGTCTCCTACCACGGTCGGCTTGTTCCAATAAGGTCCTAGATTCTTCCAGTTCGTTTTGAAGAGCATTGGCTCGTCTTTCAGAAATTCCCAACTGTTCTCTGGCATCTTCCCTAGCTCTAGATTCTTCTTCGAGAGCTGTTTGAACGTCCTTCAATTGTTGTTGGTAACGTTTGATGTTCTTTTGTGCTTCAGCATTAGCCTTGTTAGCATGGTCCAAAGCAATTTCAAGTTCATTGATATCAGCTTCCAACTTCTTCTTCATCCTAAGAGCCTCAGCTTTACCCTTAGCTTCAGCTTCCAAGCTAGCTTGCATGGAGTCTAACGCACGTTGGTGGTTTTTCCTGAAATTATAATAAAAAGGTTAGATTTTTAAAATATATTATCAGACTTTAATATGATACATTACATAGCATTTCGTGGTTAACCTGTCACGAAAATATTATCACACTTTTTAGTATTTTTATAAATTTATAAATATATATTATAATTAAAGTATCAGGGGATAGTAATTAAATTTGTGATTAAATTTTGGTTTTTGAAGCATAATAAAGAATGTAAATATTTAAATTTGACAATTACCTGGTGTTTTCGAATTCCTCTTCTTTCTCTTGGATACGTCTATCAATTTCTTGTCTGACTTGAGAAAGTTCTAATTGTGCCCTCAATACTTTGTTTTCTTCTTGTTCTAAAGCGGCTTCAGCTTCTTCTAATGCAGCTTGAAGTTCATCTTTCTCAACTTCCAATCGTTTGCGTTGTTTTTCAATTTCGTGGATGTTTCTGCCACCTTCACCAATTTGGTCAAGAAGATCTTTGACTTCATCTGTTTAGATACAAATATTATTAGTATAATTATAATTTATTATTAATTAAATTTAAATATCAACAAACCGGCTAGATTTTTGTTTTCACGTCTGACTCCTTCTAATTGTTCTTGGGCTTCTTCGTAGGCTCCCTTAAGACGGAAGAGTTCAGTGGAATAGTTTCTGCATTCTTTCTGGCTAGCATCTAATTCAGCTGCTAAGTCATCAACCTTGAGTTTCCATTCTCCAATGATCTTGTCAATGGCTTTAGCCTTCTTTTCAGCAGCATTGGCGATCGCTGTTGCTCTGTCGACTTCCAATTGTAAGTCTTCAACTTCAGTGGCCAATCGCTGTTTAGTTTTCTCCAAAGCTACTACCTTTTGGTTGAGTGACTCAATAGTCTCCTCAGCTTCAGCAAGACGAGCTTGCAATTTACGTCTAAAATAAAATATTGTTTATTTAATACACACACGTTTTAACAATATTCTTCAATTGTGTTTCCATATGTTTTGAATTTATGAAATCCATTATAAATGATTTAAGTACTTACTTGGCTTCTTCTAATTCTTCAACGCGTGCAATACCCTCAGATTCGTATTTGGTACGCCACAATTGAACTTCAGCGTTAGCCTTGCTCAATTGTCTTTGGATATCAGCCTTAGCTTCAGCTTCTTCTTCCAATTGTTCACGAATGTTGTCAATGTCGTGTTCCAAATTTCTGAATTTACCCAAAAGAGTAGCGCGTTCCTATTAAAAAACAAAAAAAAAACAAATTTATAGTTTAGCAAATATATAAGGGTTATTGCATTATGTTTTATTAAATATTTACCCTTCCTTCTTCGTCAGCTAATCTCTTAGTGTCTTCTAGTTGTGTGGTTAGGGAAATCTTAATCTTGGCCAATTGAGAGACTTGTGATTCAGCTTCTTCTAATTGACGAAGTAAGTCTGAGTTTTCAATGCTCAATTTCTTTTTGGCAGCGTCAAAGTCGTTTAATGTGCGGTTGGTCTCGTCAAGTTTTCCTTGAACTTCGTTCAATTGGTGTTGGACTTGTTTATAGATCTTTTCAGTCTGGGCCTGATTATAAAATCAAATCAAATAAAGTTATAATTTGATCAAACGTATTTTGTTATGTATTGTACGTAATATTCAAACTCAATATTATATTAAAAATCACACTTTACGAGTATTAGTACACATTAAACAACAAATATATATTTAAAACACAATTAGTATGTATTAGTTATTTTAACTTGCACAGACAAATATTAAAGTAATAATTGGGTGTACAACACATTTGCATTGATATCTACAAATTGTAAAGTTAAGAATATAGTATAAACAATGGACAATGACATAATGTTATCACATTGTTATCCTTCACAAACTTTGTAGAATTCTTTCTATTTATAATGTTTGCTCGCTAATGATAACGATTTTTAAAAAACTGAAAAACTGAAGCATTTAATTATGCATACAATCAGAGCAAAAAATACAATTTTAATATAATATATCAATCAAGCGCTTTTAACATCACTGTTGCCATTATTTCGATTTTTTTTTTTTCTAAAGCAACACATTTTTTTTTAACGAACCTTTTCGTTAGAAATATGGTCTAAGCTGGCACGTGTGTCGTTCAATTCACACAAGAACTGGCATTTGTCCTTTTCAGCTCTAATAATCAATACAATATTTTTATTTTAATACTAAGTTATCGTGAAATTGTATACTAAAATACCATATTATTTAATTTTAATAACTTCGAGTCTGTTTAATATATTTTATGTGGCCACGTGGTGAATTTTAATATATAAACTATATTATAATGTGTAGGTAAAATAATTCGTAAAAACAAATCAAGATTCAATAGGATAAATAGGTAAACATGCTCTTGAAATTTCTGTCCATCGGTTTACAGACAAAGATATAATTAAAACATGGTCATGCAACATATAATCACTGAACGATCAGTGCAGTTTCTACCTTTTCTCTAGATATTAAATCAACAGCAGCTCTAGTGTTGTTTAAGTCGTTGGAAAGATAATGCGAATGGTGTTCAGCCCTGATTTTATAAAATATTCATTAATTTCAATTTTACAAAAAAACCATTTACATAAAAATTCATATCAATCCATGAGTTATTAAATATAGTGTGAAGGCTTTATAATATTATTGATGGCTTACAATAAACCTTCAATTAAATTATTTTTTTATATTTTCAAAATTTAGAAATTATAAGAACTGAAGAAATAACATAATTTCGATATAATATTATTCCTAATGAATATGTTTGATGAACATAAACTATTGTGAATCTATTTAATGTTGTCAAGTACTTGAAATTAATCAGTAATTTACTATAACTATTATAAAAATAGTTATTTAATATTGGTATAGTATTTAAAAATTAAAAATCTAATTTTGCGAGACTTACTTAGTCTTTAGTTTGTTCAACTGGTCGATTTGGTCACTCATTTCTGAAACGGCATCGTTGTGCTTCTTGCGCAAGTTAGCTAATGTAGCTTCGTGTTGAATGTTAGATTCTTCCAAATCACGACGAAGTTTGCTCATCTCAGCTTCACGTTTTTTGTTCAGCTCGATTTGAGCGGAAGTTGCACCACCAGCTTCTTCCAAACGTTCGCCCAACTCTTCCAATTCACGAGCAAGGTCCGCGCGTTGTTTTTCGGCCTAATATTGATCAACGTAATGTGTATAATTTTAATTAAATACAAGTATCAAAAAAGGAAAAAAATGGTTATAAACTTTAGTTCAGATTCAAAGTAAAAATATTTTACCTTAGCACGAGCTTGTCTTTCGGCTTCGACTTCTTCTTCGAGTTCTTCAATTCTTGATTGAAGTTCTTTGATTTGTTTTTGTTGTTTACCAACTAAAGCTTGTTCGTCTTCTAATTTAGCAGTCAAAGAAGCTAATTCTTTGTCTTTTCTTTGAATTGTTTGTTCGAGTTCTTTTTTGTTGCGTTCCAAATCAGAAACTGCTTCTTGGGTAAGTTTCAAGTCTCCTTCGGTCTTCCTCTTACCCTTTTCAATATCACCTCTCAGTTTCTTTTCACGCTCTAATGAATCTTCCAATTCATCCAAAGTTTGTTCCAACTTGTTCTTAACTTTGTTAAGATGGTTGATTTTGTCTTCGGCCGCCTATAATTTGATATTAAATATTTAATTAAATGGATTACCAATAAATATATCTGAAAACCTTGAGTGTATAATAAAGTTTTTTATAATAACCTGTAATTCTTCGGCAGTTTTCTGGGCGGTTTCACCAGACAATTTCTTTTCTTTGTTCAATTTGTTGATGAGTTCGTCTTGATGGGCGATTTCATCGTTCAAGTTGCGAATTTGGTGGTCTTTGGATGCTTTGTCTTGATCGGATTTCTGAATGGCCAATTCCAAATCTTCGACATCCTTTTTGAGTCCAGCGTTCTCTTGTTCTATTTTCTTTTTCTGTTGGAACAATTGGTTGCGAGCATCTTCTTCGTTCGTTAACCTCTCTTGGGTTTCCTAAAATTATAATATTACAAAATGAGAACTGTATAATGTTCAAGTATATCATGAATGATTCGAAAATGTCAGAATACCTATTTTATAATAACCGAAGTATATATTCACGATAACTTAAAATTAGCAATTTTCATTGGCGTGTAAACAAGATTTACAATTTTATTTTTTAAATATCAAAGTGAAGTAAACTTGTAATATTCGATTGAATGTCTGCCAAATCACGTTAAAATTAAAATACCTAATATAATACTAATAATTCGAGTACCTAGTCATTGGTGCGTGTCAAAATTACGTGGGTAAAAATTATTTCGATATTAAAACAGGTTAATGAAATAAATCTTAACGAATTTTATCCTATGAATGCCGTTTACACATAAGTTAATGTTATCCAGATGTTTTGATAACGACCCAACAAGCGAAGCGATGAGTTTGTTTTAATCATTTATTTCGGGAATATTTTCAACAGATCTATAGAGGTCGGTGAGTTGGCATTTTTACTAAAATAACGATGAAATCAGATTACGAAATCTATAAATGTATAATGTTTTAATGATATACATCTGAAACATTTTTTTTTTTAGATTGTAATTAGTCGTTTGATATTCCTGTTATAAATAATTATTTTAAATTATGAGAATAAACTATGTAGTTGATTTAAATGTTGAAATGTTACTAATTTATGTAAAACGATAAAATATTAAATCGTAAACGTAGATATTTACTGAATACTTGGTGTCAACATTGCAATGAAATTCAATTCCCCCTGTATTATATAGTACTTAGAAGTACGTACTCAACTCTACTCCGCTCTAGAGAGTCGACTATATTTACCAATGTAAACAAATTATATATTTACTTTTTTCAACATGTAAAAAAAACTACTAATAATGCTAATAATATAAATAACAATATATTTATACAAAAATGTAAGTGTGACTTAACATCGGTTATTTGAAAATAAACATCGAGCCGAATACCGATTGAGTTGTGTTTCTATTTTTATTTTGAAACAAAATATCATACAGATATTGTATTCGCTCGTACGTTATGCATTTTACACGCTCGAATAATCTTCTGTAGGCTATACAGAAATAGATCACACCGAGTGAACGCTAAATTTTTTTAGAAATCTAGAAATTCACATACTTGTACTCGTATTATATATTAAAATATAAATAAAATGCAATAAATTACATTTATATACATAGAAAATATTTTTTAAATTTTCTATTTCCAGGTGCAGTGCGTGTGGGCACGTGTTGTCGTTGGGTCCCCTATGTCACGATTTATTGGTCTTTTCGTTGCCAGCGAATTTTTCCAACATGTTATACGCAAACTATTTTATTAAAAAAAAAAAAAAAAAGAGGGAGAAGGAAATCTAATGTTCTACAGTAATATAACTAATATTACATCACGGAGGCGTTGGAACTAGGATTATTCATTGAATTTTAAAATAGCCCGCTGGACGACATGAATCTCATGGATATTATTTCACGCCGCTTAATATGTGTCGCATGAAACTATTCAAGGGTGATAAATATAACATTTTTAGTAATGTGTAAAAAATGTATAGTAAAATCATTATGGGTTATTTAAAGCTAGAAATCTTGTACACTAAGAGGATATTATAATACCCGTTATCGGATACTATTCCAGGACTTAGTCATACGTATTTTTATTTTGTTGAGTTTTAAGTTTTAAATTATACTAAATAAGTACGAGAATGGTTTTTCTGTCTTTTTTTGTGTAAATTTAATGTGTGTTAGATTTATTTTCAATACCTACATCCCTAGTAATGTCCTGCAGCTGATAGAAGTTTTGAACATTTTTTTTCGAGTTAAAATACTTCACAAAATATGTAATACAAATTGGAGTTTTAATAAAACTTGAAAAATGTAAAATTTTAAGCAAAATATGGTGTGCATAATATTGAATATTAAACAAATCGCATTATTTCAGTTTATTGATTTAAACTACACATTTAAACTTATTATTATAAAAACAAGATTATTATTTTTACTTTGTATTTTTAAAAGTTTTTAAATTCGTATGCACTTTGAAAATACCTAATAATTATTTGAATAGGTTACGTTATATTTCCAACAGTTAATAAAAAAATATGAAATGTTTAAATTTAAGTACCTACACATTTTATTTCTATCCGTACTGATATAGTCGAAGCAAGCTATCTAATCATTGGTTGTATAATTGATTTAATTTAAACCAATTGCATTTAATGTATAAAAAGTATCTAGTTATCGTTTAAACACTTGAATATTATATGATAAAATAATATTGAAACACTTACCGAAAGTTGAGATTCCAAATCGCTCTTTTGTGCCGCCAACTTAGCTGCCCTTTCTTGGATGCTGGATGCGCTTCCCTTTTCGCCTTCCAACGATTGAAGCAGTTGTGTCTTCTCGGCTAACAGTTTAGAGTTGAGCGCTTCCAGTTCTTTGCGAAGTTTTTCTTCACGTTCGAACGCAGTAGTCATTTTTTCAACTTCTTCTTCCAATCTCTGTTTATTATTTTCCAAATCTTTTAGTAGCTCCATGATGGCGGCACTTATTAATTGTTAGTGGTTGTAGGCTAGCACTCAGGAAGGCAAGTGATGTGTCTAACGTATAAGTGGTTCGATGATTCCGAAGAGAGATGCTATATGGATTGTGGGTGGACCAGTAACGCGAGAATATATTGGGTGGGGGTCTACGGTGTGTGCATATTTAGATGCAACATGGGTGGTGATATTTATATAAATTATATGTAATATTATAATAATAGTATAAAGTGGTGAAAATTGTTATTCTAGGAATAGATTAATGATTATTTTAAAACTTTTAAGATTTTTTTGATATAAATATGAAATACTAAAAATATAAAAACACAATGTTTTTACACCCGCATATTCGAGAAATTTATTTGTTTTAAACAAATAAATTCACAAAAAAAAAATCTATATTTAAATGAAAGATATTATAAACACGTTCGTTTTCAAAACGGACCATGTTGGTGTATGTTACATGTTCTTTTTTATAAAACAATATAGATTAAACAAAAATTAAAAATAGAAACATTAGTCACTTTTTTAAAAATTGATCTGTTTTATTTAGGTATTTTTTTTTTTTTAAATTTAATATCACCAATGAATTAAATTATTATTTGCAGGAATTTGATATCATTAATTCTTGTTACGTTGACAAATATAAAATTAAGGCTAACATAAATCATATTTTTCGTAAAATTATATAATAATAAATATTAATTATACAAATATTTATAAGAATGTGATTTTTGGAATTTTATTTATTATTTTTAACAAATTTTTATGATGTATTTCCTAGAGTGAAATATAATGACATGTTTAGGTAAGCGATTTTTTTTTTATTTTTAAATAGTAAAACGATACTTATTTTTAAATCGTTAGGATATTGGTAATAATGTTATATCGTACTACATTAAACCATAACGCGTATATTTTATTTAAAGAAAATAACCCGTTATGCCCAATTTATTGAAATATATTCGAATTTGTTAGAAAAGGATAACGTAGAAATTGCTTTCTTTTCGTATATATAATTATTAATAATTCGTTATTTACCCTTAATTCGTCTTCAATGTTAGCCACGTTGAGCAATGGCTTGACACGAGTCCACATCTTCCACCATGGCCACGACCTCAATTTCATGTACTTTCTCAAGCTCCTCTGGATAACCAACAAAGCCAATCTGTCCGAAAATAAAACCATATTAGGAAAACGTTTTGCGATACCACGATTACGTTCATGTCTCTGATATTTTTTAATTTTGTTTTATTGTGTTTAATATAGCGGAAAAATACAATACAAAATGTATCTAAGTGTATAATATGATATTGTGAATATTGAGTTTATATGATCGTGTGATATTCTAGTATTCCGTATAAGTATTTGAGTTTTCCAGTATTAAGAAAATTATATATAGCAACGTTTTTCGAATCGGGAACGAAAATAGTGTAATATTATACGTATAATGACAATTTGCGACAAAACAACCGACATTCATAATATAGTATTCAATAATATTTACGTTAAATAAAACTCTTAGTGTTAAAAAAATAATATCTAATACCTAGTCCATCTCTCGGTTTTTACATTTCATTAATAGTAGTATTGGTCTTACCTCTGGTCTTGCAACTTCTTGAATTCTTTCCTGGCAATGTAACCACGGATGTATGATTGCAACCATCCAATGATTTTGCTCAGACGATCGTCACGTAATTCTTCCATCTGACCTAATACTCCAGCACGGAAGAATACCTATATTATCCGCCCAAAACCCAAAAAAAGTAAAGTTAGATTTATATATATTATTACCATAAGGTAGTGCTGAACGAGTATTTCAAACGAAATGTAATATAATAGTCAAACTGGAGCACATTAAAACATAAAATGAAGTGTACATTTCTTTCACCAAATATTTAAAGTTAAATTAAATTACAAAATATAAGAATATGTGTTATAGAATTTTTCACTATTTTAAACGTTTATCACGTGATAAATGTTTAAAATACCTTGATAGATATATTATTATTATGAGAAATGGTAATTTGTTTTTGCAACAAAGTTTTTCATCGTTAAAAAAAAAAAAATCGAAAAATATCGTTTTATTAAAAAAATAAAAAACTTCATTTTGTGAATTATGTAGTGTATCGGGTAAATACAGAAAAATGTAAAGCCGTAAAAAACAAACAAAAAGCAAATAACTATTAGTGTTACGACAGTGTAATATAATATGTGTGCATTTCTCGCATGTGATGATTTTTCTTCATATTATACAATTCATTACACCCGTCCTCGGCTAATACTTAGGTATTTTAAAGAAAAAAAAAATAATAATAATAATTTAAGTCGTATTTAAATCGCTATTAATCAATAAATATATAACAATGACATTCACAGTATTATTTATTAGGAAATACACACGAAAATGCATACGAAACGAAACGTTCTAAAAATATTGGACATTGACCACGACCTACATATTAGGTTATACGAAATGAACAAACGTATATTTCTTAACCTGTTAGTCGATTATAATGACGTAATTCGGGATTATAAGACCGTACGGATTTATCATAATTTATCGTAAGTATATAACTGTAGTTTGTGATTCGTTCGAAATGTAAGAAATTCGATACATTTTAAATTATCCTCGAATAAATGCGTGTTAGCAGTAAGTGTTTGTTTACTGTAAATAAATAAATAATAATATTAGGATACGACGAACAAGAGTAACGTTATCGAGTACAATGCGCGGATAAAATATCTCATCCGATGTTTAATCAAAATTACGCCACTGTGAATATTATTACGCGAACTCATATACAATTAATAATGCCGTTAATTAAATTGATATTGTCCCGAAAATATACCTTCGTGTTACCCAACCGGTATTGTTCTGGGTCGAGTTCAATTCCTTCCAAAATTGCTTTTGTCGCTTCTGTAGGCGACATTGTGTCTTTCACACCTTTCGGATACAGTACTTTGTACCTTTTGTGGCGTGATACGAGGTTTTTTTTTTTTTTTTTTATTTTGTTTGTTTGTTTTTAAATAAGCGGTAGAACATGAAAAAACCAAAAACAAGCAAGGATAAAACAAAATGGTTTTCAATTCGGTTTGCATTGCATTGCAAATATAATATTTTACGTCTACAAAACGTCTATATACGTGCGTGTACAGGAACAGGATATAATTGTCTACTTATTTGTAGGTTTATTTAATTATCATAATTACACTAGACTACGCATTAGGTATACTATACTACTATATAAATACTGTAATTTAATACTATAAATCAATGTATACTAATGGCTAAACGGGCGCATGCTGTATCTACAACGTTAATATTAGTAAAACGTCGGCGAGCGTCATTGGAGTTGATTATCAACAACTTTGTATGCGTGTTTATACAATGACTGTAGTGTAAAATTAAAACCCAGAGCCCACGGTTTAGATTGTAGCGAAAATGTTCAGCAAAACGTCGCAATGTGTTTTGTATAATTAAGCAAAATCGCATAAATTAAGATTTTCGCATACAATCAAATATCCTAATCAGTTTTTTTTTTTTTTTTTTTAACATGCCTTAGTGTGGCCAAGCCTGTATTTATCTGGATCCAACCCGGCGTTTTCCAAAATAGCGCCAGCGCATTTCTTTAGATCAGACTCCCTTTCCGCCGCAGCAGGAGCTAATATCTTGTATCTATTGATTTGTTTATTGATTTAAATGACAATTAATATAGTAATAACGAAAAATTAATAAAAAAAAAAAATAATAATAAATAAACATTTAAGTATTACAATTTTAGGTATGTTAAATTTGCATTGTATAATCGATGACAATACCTTTGTGGAATTATTGACGCTTATTAGATCGGGTGTGTGTTATAGGATGCTGGGGTAGGGTTCGGTCGCGCTACATGCCAATAATTATTAATCAATAATAATAATAAAAAAAGGGTTCACTCATCAAGGGGTAGGTATATCTAAATTAAATTTGGGAATTCTAATGGAAAATATCGATAGTTTTCGAAAACTAGCCTTTGTGTGCCCGATACGATAACTTTCCGGATCTAATTGAATTTCTTGAAGACATTTAGCCGCTGATGTTTTAGGGTCGGGTTCAGCCGCCATAGTTGCGGGCGCTAAGATCATGTATCTTTTTATCAAATAAAATTCAAAATTAGTTAGCTAATCGATAATTGTTTTTTTTTTTTTTAATAACATATAATTTGGTAGGTACATCCCAAATAATAAAAAGTAAAAAAAAATTTAATTAAAATGTCTAACGTTGGTTTTATGTACCTATAGCTATATTGACTATTTAGGATTTAAACTATTTTATAAAAACATGATACTGAATTAGAGATATTTAAAATATTTTGATATTTTTAATGTTTGAATTATAATAAATAGTTTTCATTAAACATTGATGCTTACCGCAATTTGAAATCTGGGTATACCATTCTGTTGGGGAAACCTTTACGGCAAATACGGATACCTTCAAGTACACCGTTACATGTCAACTGGTGCATAACCAAATGAGAGTCAATTACACCTGAGGATAGAAAAAATTGACGAATAAGTAGTATCAACCAATATAGGCAGTTAAATTATAATGTGATATTTTCGGTAAAAGACGTATTGTTAAAAGGAATTAACTTACCAGGCTGTTTCATTTCATTGGGAATGATACAACGTACGAAATGAGGTTGAGTACTCTTCAATGTTGTCATCAAGTTGTTCAATTGTTCCTATACGATGTACACAACAAAAATATTATAAAAACCGATTTAAAAAAAATATATTTAGGTATATTATGTAAAACAACAAGCAAAGAAAACAAAAAGACGACATGGTATTTTGTTATTATTGCTTATGAAAATTATATTATAAAAACGGTAATGTTATAACTTATAATTATAAAGTTTAATAATCATAAAACAACGAAAAAATCATACGAATATATGTTATAAACTGTATAAAGTTATTAGAAATTAAACGATAATATAGTATTATTAAATATAGTAATTAATACGTTATGTGTATCTATTAGAAGAAGTACGGTAATTTTTTCTTGGTTAATAGCAACGTAAAAAATGCAAAAAAAAAAATAATCTTTTTTACGCAATTATCTATCTAATTTTTTTACTACATATTTTAATATTTTAAAAGTGTAAACATAATATAACGCATTTGAAAAAAATCCGTTCCATGCGGTATTTTCGTATTTTCTAAATAAATTAAACAAGTAGGTATATATTAATAATTCTACGATTTAGTTTATGTCTGAAATAATGACATAATAGGTAATATTATACTACTATCTAAAGGTCGTAAAACAATGATTTAATATTATATTTCTATTTTGAGGAATGCACAAAAAAAAAAAAAAAAATCAAGACCGGTTTAATTATTTTTGACGATATACCTTATAGGACGATGACACAGTGGCGAAACCACCACCCTTCTTTCCACGACCTCCTGTTTATTTGCACAAATTTAATATTTTAAAATTTGACAATAATAGTATCGACAGTGATATTAAATGTATAAGTGTCTAATGTTTATTATAACGGTAAATTTGTGTTTTGTTCAGATATCATTTATGTAAATGTATATATATATTGTGTGGTTTAATGTTAAAGACAACGTTACAAAATAGAAGACGGAAGATATCATAACGGTGTATACGAAGAGTAATATTATTATTGTAAATCATATAACAATGTAATAATTTATTGCAAAGCAGTTTTACGATCTCACAAAAAAAAAAAAAATTAAAAACACAACATGTTTTTGTGTAACAGTTTGGTAAAATTACCCTGTGTAATGTAGATACTGTCATGAAAGCTGAACCTTTTGTACGTTTACCACCTGCATTGTATAAAATCCATAATGATATTAAGTTAACATTGATATTATATGCGGATATGATTGTTTTTAACAATGATCTCGAATTCGATGGGTATCATAAAAAATTAATGTAAAGTAATAAAAACTTAAAAAAAAATATGATGAAACACTGATTAAAATTATCAATAGTTAATATAGGTAATATATACGAGTATGTTCGACCGTATTAGAGTTTTGTAATTTTGTATACCTATATTTTTTTACATTAGGAATAATTCCCATTTTAGCTACCACCACATTCATGTAATTTTGTAAAATGTCCGTGTTCTGTAGTTCTGATTAAACATATTGTAGTATGAGTAATATAATGTAATGTGTTTACAATATTATTTATATGGGTAATTTAATATCAAGATTTAAATAATTAGAAAAAAAAATGTTACCTTTGCCACCGGCATCAGCGGCACCACCAGATTGACCTGGATGGTCGGCGAAGATTTCCACCAACAATTTGTTGGATCCTTTTTTGTATTGGTCAACGACAGTGTCGTTCAACGGATCCTTGTTCTTTTCCAACCAACCGGTGATGTTGTACGATACCTAAAAAAATATTGATAATACGGTTTTAGTACGGATAGAAGATTTCAGATTTCGAATTTTTGCGTGAATGTATAATAAACAAATATATATATATATATATATATATTTCACGAAAAAAACTGAAGACTTACCACACCGGCGTAATGGGCAAGAGCGAAATGTCCTTGTTGGCAACCTGGTTTAGCTGGAGCTGGCTTTCTGAAGTTGGGTGATTTTCCCAAGTGATTGGCGTTTAACTTATCCTCAAATGTCTTGTCCGTGGCTTTTGGGAACATAGATTCTTCTTCAAGAATTGATAAGATACCCATGGGCTAAATGGTATAAATTAAAATATACTAATTAGACACCTAATATAAAAATTGGGTTCTAACGTATAGATACGCATTAAAACGACTTGAATAGGTAAATCTTAAAATTTTACATTGTCATTTCACAAAAGTTTATTACGAATATAGTATGAAAATAATTAAATAAATTATTATGTGTACAGATGGAAAGTTTATACATTACTTTTGTCTTAGACTTTTTCTAGCCACCAATTTACGATAAGAAAAAAAAAGTGTAATTCGCTTTTGTGGAATATAAAAAATAAATGAATTATAATAATTATAAAGTCATTTAAATGCGTTTTAATACGTTATTATGTAAATTTTGAAAAATCTTGCATACAAATATAATTGTACCGTGTCTTGTGTTGTACAATTAGTGTGGATAAAAAAAAAAAACATGCCAAAACTCTAAACTACAAATATTTGTCCATACTTGGACTAATCAGAATGTCAACATTTCTGATTATTAAATAAGTACATACATTCTGATAGCCGATAATTCATATCTTGAAGTGTTCATTTATTCAGTGATAATTGTTTGTTTTTATCAACTATGCTTTCTTGATGATTTTTTTTTTAGATATAACATGAATTTGTATATCTACATTTGTTCATACAAACCTTTTCAATGAGATCAATGCATTGCTGCAAATCCATTCCAAAGTCAATAAATGTCCATTCGATACCTTCACGTTTGTATTCTTCTTGTTCTAATACAAACATGTGATGGTTGAAAAACTGTTGTAGTTTTTCGTTGGTGAAATTAATGCAAAGTTGTTCGAACCCATTGAACTAAATGATGTAAACGAATAGGAAAAAACAAGCAAATACAGTTATCATGCATTAAGTATAAGTACTAAAAAAACAACAATTTTCTAAAACTATGATTATACATTAACTCGACGTGTCTTTCATAGCACGTTTGGGAAAACAACTAAAATACTTAAATGTATACAACTTCCTCGTTTGTCAAATTGAGGATCGATCTAATTATTACTTTCAACTGTCTAAAAACTCTAAAAACACTCAACCGCCTGCTCCAATACTGGTTACCTTTTCAATAAGTTCAATACAGGCGGCTAAGTCCATTCCGAAATCGATAAAAGCCCATTCAATACCCTCACGTTGGTACTCTTCTTGTTCAAGTACAAACATGTGATGGTTGAAAAACTGTTGTAACTTTTCGTTGGTGAAGTTGATGCAAAGTTGCTCGAAACCGTTGTACTTTAATTATAGGTATAGCAAACAATAAACATGTTAAATGGATATGATACGTAAGTTATGTTAAACTGGTAGGGAAGAATATTTTATTATATTATGGTATCGAAATAATATGACTGTTAGACAATATTCAGTTTTTTACTAGTGGCTGGGTTGGTATAGTAATTATGGTACTAAAAATTATGGTCGTACAGGTCGTATTATACAGGATAATAAAGGTTTTTTTTTAACATTATTTATATAGACTTTGTCGATTCGTAATAAAGGATTAATAATCTATAATAAGTTATAGTATAGGGTTCAATATTATAGTTATAAATCTTACCAACATTTCCGAAATATGTTCTCATTGAAAATTGACTGATAACTAAAATTCCAGGGGTTCAATCTAGGATTGGGAGTCAAACAAAAATGCATAAAAAACACGCTTCCGGATTATAACGAAGTACCTTTTCAATCAAGTCGATACAAGCTAACAAATCCATTCCGAAATCAATGAAAGCCCAGTTGATACCCTCTTTTTTATATTCTTCTTGTTCCAACACAAACATGTGATGGTTGAAGAACTGTTGTAGCCTTTCGTTGGTGAAGTTAATACACAATTGCTCGAAACCGTTATACTGTGTTCATATCAAATTCAGAATTTAAAATGTTATATAAAATATTAAGTCAATTTATTAATATGACTTCACGACTACTTGTATGGTGTTTTCTTTTCAATTTTTTTCATAATCATTCGGTAGCATTTTTATGTATCTCCAATAAATAGAATAGTATTTAATAGTATGGGAAATTGTACAATTTATATTAATTTAAAATGATGGTTATGATTTCAAAGAAAAATTAAAGAATATCAAAATAGAAAAACTTTTGTCCGTGGTACCTTCTAAAAAGAGAAATTGAATATTGAATAAAAATATCTCTGGACGTGTTAATCAATAAAATGTATCTAGACGATAATAATTGGTTTATAATATGTTCTTCAATAATACGCGATATTTAGGAGATTTAAATAATAATTTCACATTTTATATCTAAATTAGATAAGTATAAAGTTTGAATATTGCATTACGATTTACAGTAGAGGACTACTGTAATATTTTAATCTGTAATACGATTCAAACATAATACTTAGTATACTCACGTCGAAAATTTCAAAACCAGCAATATCCAATACACCAATGAAATGTTGACGTTTTTGTTGTGTGTCCAAAGTTTCGTTACATTTTTTTACCATGAATTTGAAAAGTCTGTCAAACATACCCTTAGACATAGCACCTACGGAGTATGCGACCTATACAGGTAATATAGATTATTAAGCATTTGTTTTAACAGTTCAACAAAATTAATCAATATAATATAACTACTAAAATAAAGGTACACTTACTTGATCCTTGTTACGACCTTGTGTGACGAACTCGTTTCCTACTTTGATTCTGGGTTTCAATAAGTTTTTGTACAATTCATCGCAGTCAATTCCCAACAGTTTTGCGACACGTGCACCTTCCTATTAGTAGAAAATTAAATATACGTTATGTTAATACGTTAATATAAAATTATCTATAAAAAAAATATAGTGAGTCGTTATTACTTCTGTGCCGTCGGCTTCAGCCTGTTCCTCACGACCACGTTGTTTGAATTTCATACCACCCATGTGCATAACAGAGGCGGTAATCTTGTAAATGTCGTTCTTTTCTTCTTCGGTAAATCCGAGCACATCGAAAGCTTGCTGTTATTTTAGAGAAAAATCGAGTTATTATTACAAATCAGTAAAGTAATAAATAATTCAAGATTAGTAGTATCACTTTTATTGAGATACTTAAAAAAAAAAAAAATGTTAATATGATACAGAAAAATATATATAATGAAATTTAAGTACTAATTTTTCTTGTATCTTAAAAAAAAAAAATATATATATATATATATATAAATAGGAAAAAGGAAAACGTTGGAGGATGTCTTAGACTTGAGTCAAAAAGCAAATTGTATTCCAAGTCGATAAAAGGCTAGAATAATCAAGAAGCAAAATACAAAAACCTTAGCAAGGATACACAAAAGCTTATAAAATAGTTACATAAAAAAAATAATGTAGGTATACAATGTAAACTTACCCTCACTCAATCAAAATACAAAATAAAAGTGAGGAGCTTAGAAAAATGAAAAAAAAAAAAATTGTATCTTATTAAAAGTGACATAATAGAAAATAATTTATCAACTAATAAAGTAATGATTCGAAATGAAATGTAGTTGTTAAAATAAGCTAAGCAATGAAAGCTACCCGATAATAATAAAAATATGTATGAAACTGATCACTTTGCAATATGGCAAAAAATTATGAAGTTCTCCCGATTTCCAACATTTTTTATTTTATATAGTAAAATAGTACATATTAGATATAATATGATATAATTTTTTAGGAATTGGACTCACATCGGTAAGTTGAAATTCCTCTCCGTCGTCCATTCCAGGAATAGTGGTTTTTCCTTGCGAACAATTGTGGTAATCATAGATGTTGTTAGATAACATACACATTTCTGCCAAAGCAAGCGATTTCAGTTAAGCAAGTAAAATACATATATTATTATTAATACAATGTAATTATTTGATACTCATAATACAATATAATATTACATAACATAGACAAATAAATCAACATTAATAGTACTGGTACTCCAATCATATTTGTCGAAAATCGATTAAATTTTGAATAACAAATACTTTTTTTCATATATATATATATATGTGTGTGTATATACATTTATATATACATATACAGATTTAATTATTATATCAAAGCAGATTTCACTTAGACAACTTTTACGACAAATATCATTTTTGAGTTTTGCATAATACTATTATACGCAACATACACAATAACATAAATAATTTTGAACAGTACAAGCATGATGCCAAATTTAGCTACACTAATAATACGAAACAAAAATAACAATGACAATAACATCTAAAATATAAGATTAATACCTTTATTATTATTATCATTTACGGTTCTAAACACAGTACCTATTAATTATTTTTTATTTTCCCTGTAAACCTAAATCGCATTTTATCGGCTCGGTTATGCACGTGAATTGTTCCTGATTGCATAATGTATATTTTAAGCATGAGATTTTATCATGAGATTTTAAAGCGCCTACGCAGTCACACTTACATCAGTTACTAGAAATTCTTCGCCGTCATTTACTCCGGGTATTCGAGTTTTACCTTGGCTAATGTAATGATAGTCTGCGATACGATTACTCAAAAAAGTCATTTCTGCGTGCAATAAGGTGCATAAAAACAGTTATTATTATCACAAAACCATTATACAGGTCGAAAACAAATACAAAAAAATGATTATGATATACTAGTATAAATCGTGAACTTTCCAAGTTTTATGAGTTTGCGATTGACTTGAGTTTTATTACAAATAGGTAAGTAGGTAGGTATAGGTACACCGCTGATAGTCGATAAATATATAGTTTAGCCAAAACAATATTAAGCCGCTTGGTATTCAAAGATTACACATTGACGGTAGGAGAGATTAGAAAGGATATTCGTTTGGAATGCTCATTTAATTAATTTTCACGTTGGTGATAAGTTTTTATTTATAAACATTTAAAATGTTTGATCTTTGATTATGAGATGGAATGAGCATACTCAACCGACCGAAGGAGTAGAGAGGGGAGAAGACTTACATCAGTAATTTTGAACTCTTCTCCGTCATCTACACCAGGTATACTAGTCTTTCCTTGGCTGACGAAATGGTAATCGTTTACATTGTTGGACAGGAGACACATTTCTGGTTAAAAAAACAAACCCCATTTGTCATGCGTTGGGTTTAACGAGTAAAATCGATATATAATGTAGTCTATAATATATCTCATTTACTAAACACATCTGGGTTCAAATCAATACTATTTTTACTACATAAAATACAACGAATTCCAGAAGTAGATAATAAACGTTAAAAAAAAATTAAATTTATAGAGTTATTTATGATGTTGAACACATTTTATAACAGTTCGACTAAAATAGATAAAAGAAAAATTAAAATGAAAACGTAAGACTTCTGGAATACATATACTCAATCATGCAAATATAATAAATAACACATTGTGATAATAATTTAATCAAATAATCACCATTTTTAAACAGTAACGTAAGAGGTTTTTTTTTTTTAATGCGAATGTCAATTAAAATATAAAAACAATAATTAAAAACCATTTACAGAACTAGTTAAAAATGATTCATATTCGCAACCACATACACTGCGATACGTTACTTAAAAACTAGATTCTAATGTTAAAAATAAAATAAAATAGGTATTTACAAGACTAGAGCTATAAATAGCTACTGTCGTAAAATCGTTTATCGATTTGTATATTATAATGTACACTTATATATTAGAAAAAAAATCACACTTTTGTCGGTTTGAGACTGTTGGCCATCAATTTATAATGTAGATGATGACAACCTATAGTCATACTGTATAAAAACAATATTATGCGCCTGTACTAGTTGTGTAATGTACGGCTAGTTTATTTACATTGAAAAATCGTAGATTTTCTAAAAAAAAATTAAAAAAAAAAAAAAAAAAATAACGCTTCTACGATTCTACGTTGGCTAAGACGTCCATCATTACGATGAATACCAGTTGCGTGGAGGTGAATATACGGACAAGGAATATTGAAGGAAGTTACATGATGAGTAAGATCGTTTTATGGGCTCTTACGTCGGTCAATTGGAATTCTTCTCCGTCATCCATACCGGGGATAGTAGTTTTTCCCTGTGATACGTAGTAATAGTCGTGGATATCCTCACTCAGCATGCACATTTCTATGTTCAACAACCAATTAGTTATTCACGGGTACACAAGTGGATAGGTAATATCGCATAGACTAATTTTCCATTCACCAATGTGGTAATATTACCGCAATAACTCGACCGTAAATTATAAAATATTATTACCTCCCAAGACTTAACCTACCGTTCTAAAAACTGTGTATTATGTATAATTTATGAAATATAAATTAAATAAACATAAAATCTAAAGTTAAGAATAAATACATTTTTCTTTTATCGTTTAGAAAAATATTTTTCTTGTTATTTTATGACATAAATACCTTTTACTCCTTTCACCGATCCAGACATGATTTGGTAGAAAATGTGATAAGATCTTTCCAATGTTTGTTGAGAGATGACACGAGCTTTTTCCAATAGATCTGTATAATGATTAAAAAAAAAAAAAATTGTAATATTTAAGAAGTTCAAATTCATGTCTGTTTTACTAGAATCGAATAGATCGAATTAAATATGTAATAATGTTTAATAATATTATCATAATGTCATAAATTATAATGAAGTGTACTTACAAGTTTCGATATCAGCTCCGGCCAATTTTCCAGAGGGACCGAAATGAATACGGATGAATTTACCCTAAGCAACATAAAATGTACTCGTATAATACTATTGTATTTATGTTTTCGTCTATTGGGTATAATGATAGGGTTTACTTACGAAACGAGATGAGTTGTCATTACGGACGGTTTTAGCGTTACCAAAGGCTTCCAATACCGGGTTAGTTTGTACAACTTGATCTTCCAAGGAACCCTATTGAATTATAATATAAAATAATAGTTATACAAATCGAATTGTCGGTTTCGTGTTTAATTTTTATACTCACCTTCTTCTTAAGGCCTTTGTCAGCTTCTTCGTCTTTCTTTGTGCTAGCTCCGACAGTAGCAAAGTACGCAATTACCTTCTTCGTGTTTTCAGTTTTTCCAGCTCCAGATTCTCCACTGTATTACATATAATAAAAAAAATATACAAATACATAAACACATCGTGAACTCGAGAAGTTTCTAATAAAAAAATAATTATTATTATCTTACGTAATCAACATAGATTGATTTTCTTTGTCTGAAAATAAAAATAAAAATAAATTAAAATTTTATATTTTTAAATTTCCAATTCTTACACTTGTAATATTACTACTCAATGTTTATTTTGAACCTTCATCAGGAAGGAGGGGATCATAAATTTCCAATGTGGTATGCCAAAAGCAGAGCTGGATGTAGGAATAAGATACCCACCCTCCCGATTACCCCTTCGAAATAAACACTGATTATATCTTTATTTAATAAATAATATAATTTCATTTTTGAATTGTCAGTGTTTAAAATTTTAACGGAAGTATTTACTCACTTGTAAGCATGTTAACGTAGGCGCCGTCAGAAATGGCGAAAATGTGAGGTGGTACTTCATTCCTCCTCTTACCTCTGTACAATTTAGCACAACGGTTGGTGTACACGGGGAATCTTTTGTAAGGGTTAATAGCGACACAGAACAAACCGGAGTAAGTCTAAACATAATAATATTTTAACAATTAATACCGCAAATATAATAAAGTATAATCAACACAAAAGACACATTTATATTGGATCGGGTTTAATTATTAAAACATACAATTATTGTTGTTGATGTATACAATTTTAAAATTTGTTTAGGTATTTATCAAAGAAAAAAAATAGGATGTATTATGTCAAACAATGTGTCTCTTGTATAATTATAATAACAATATATAGGTATACAAAAAAAAAAAAAATCTAATCTAATCAAATGACGGTAAAAACCAATAATTTACTATACATTTGTTTGTACACATAGGTAATAATACAACAAACTGATAAAAATAACAGGTGTCAGGTTCTACATTTTGTGAAGCTAATACATAGGTGTTGTTTTCTTTAACAGGGTTCACCTAGAACTGTCGATACGATGTCCATTAACGATCGACAGTATAAGCAAAGCAACGCACACAAAGGATAATTAGATTTTTAAAAACTAAACATCAACATAATACTTTATTGTATTGTCAATATAAAACGTCATATTAATTTAATCATCGGGATAAAATCTATTCAGAATTTCTATGAAATCGAAAATTTGTTTTATTATTTTAATTTGTTAATTAAAAATACGAATTTGTATTTGATTATCACTAAAAACGATTACATTCAATGAATAATAAAAGTATAAAATAATAAAAGTATTAATGAAAAATAAATAAATAAATACAAATTGAAAATAACCCTATAAGTAAAATAAAAAATATTTTCTTCCCGCTTCAAAGGTTATAAGAAATTCACCGAACATAATTAACGGTATTAAAACAATATACTTTAATATGTTTATTCGAATTTTTTGAGTTGAAAATAAACATTAAAAAAACAATCAATTAGACATATTCAAGTTTGTGAAGGGTATTATTTCAGGAAACGGATAGAATGGTCAAGGCCGTATCTATGGCAGCAGGAGTCTGAGCTCCAAAATTCGTAAATAATTACAATAAATCGATCGGCTTAAACGCCAATAAACTATTTCCATTCAAATATAATATGGGCAAATGTTTCCCGAAAAAATTCCTAGATACGACCTTGGACATATAACACAGGAATGTATTCCAAACAGGTTTCAAAATCCAAAAACGCGGTGCACGTAGCCTCCTTCATTGGCCACCCTAACACTTACGTAAATGAGCTTATGGTAATATCTTTCTTTCAAATTATACAATACAGACGCATCGTTCAAATATGTCAAATTTGACATATCCTCGGCTTTTTCATACTTCGGTGGGTTCACTTGGCCCACTTGGTCTTTTTTGAAATCTTTCACCTGATATACCATAGAAAATTCATATTAGTATAATTGGAATTGGTACTTACGTAAATCAGTTTGCAATTGTATCGCTGTCTCAAATTGTGCAACACACTGGCATCGTTAAGATAAGTCATATCAGCCATGTCTTCAGTTTTTTCAAATTTCGGTGGGTTAACCGGACACACAATATCTTTTTTGAATGTTTTCTCCTATTTGATCCAAAATACAGTGTGTAACATTGAAATGTAACTAATTTTATACTACCCGCTTAAAATTTCTCTTCCGGTTCTCGCGTTCTTACTCTACAATGTAGTAAGTATCTACTCCCTTGGAAATTAGTTTTTACACGTATATTTAAGTGTTTATTTTATTAAGATTATATATTTTAGAACGAAAAAATATAAAAACAGTGAAATACAAATTAAAACCGCAGATCAATATTGGTAAGCCCAGGTAACTGTATAATTCGGTATATAATTTTAAGAATAAGGAATAATTATTTTTATCATTCAATAATATATGTAAGCACTAATTTATTGCTATTGATTCGTAAATTAGGTACTGTAAAAACTATAATGTTTGTTCAAAACAAACTAACGTAAATAAGTAACCCAAAAAAAAATGAATAACAAACTTTTATCTTTTACTTATCACAGCGAAACTTTAGAGAAATCTTTATTAGCTACGTATTAAAACATTTAGAGTTTAAGGGACTATATTGAAACTTCAAAATACAATATCAAGTACAGTATTCGGAAAACTATTATCGATTTAGGTACCTATACTTATTGGAACATTATACCTGCCTAATAAGTATATTGTTTATATTATAATGACTTACATCTCCGCTGGGTAGAGCGACGGATACCAAATCGCCTTTGGTACCACGGATTTCTCCCTGGACGAAACCTTGTTCTTCATCTGGTACCCAGCAAGCTTTCTTCGCGTCGTAAGGTTTGGTCTGATCGATACGCTTTTGTTCGAGCGATACGAACAAGTACGGGGTTGGATCCGGATCATCACCTTCTTGTTTGACTACACGCGGCATTTTTGTGGTTTAAAAGAAAACTCGAAAAAATCTACACGAAAACTGGTCGTTTGGTTTCACGTCACACACACACCCTTTTGTTTATGGTGTTTGCGACACACCTATAAAATAATAACAATCGAAGGTCACACGGTGTTATTTAGTATACTCGATACAAAAATAATAAATGTACGCGAGTGAGGTGTTGCTGACACTATACGTATAAAATCCCGTTGACGAAAACAAAAAAAAAAAATAACTATAATATCGAATTGATCGGCACCCTCTATGTAAGTAGACAGGTAACTGAATTGAAATATAAAAAATATAAATTCCAATAATTGGAAAACTTTTAAACTACTGTATTTATCAACCCGTTTGCCGCTTTCGTTGTTCGTCGGTTTCGAGTGTTATAATAATAATATACTGCAACGGTCACTCGTATAGTTTCAGCAAACCCGCGGACTCGGATGGTATTAGCGTGGCAAACGCATTGCGCACGTAAGGATTAAAAATAACACACACACAAATGTAAAAGGCACGAGAACGGTTAGGTAAGACGGGTTGTTTTTTTTTTTTTTTTTGCCGATGGCGAAAAGCGTTTTATTGCATATTTGAGGTGCCTGGAGAGCTGCGGGTATTATTAGAAGAAAGCCGGGAACCGGAGCCAAATAACGCAGACCCGGGTAGTGCAGGACTGCACCGTAAACGCGGACCGAAATAGATCGAACGGAAACGAATACCCGGTGTATTCTCCGATATAATAAAATATCGCGTATGTACGGTCGACGTAATAATATATTGTATTGACTTACTGGTGTAAGGATTCTAAAAGGTTATTGTTATTATTTTATTTTATTTTTTTCTGTTCCTGTACGTCGGTCGACGGTAATATAATGTTTCTAATGAAACGTTAATACCGAAACTATAGACGCGAATCGGACCCCGGCAATGTCGTCCGTTTGTAAATGGCGACCGTGTTGGAGCACGCGGGGATACGTATACACCGACGACGGTATGCGGCGCGAATGCGTTCCGGATATTTCCTGCCGACTCGCGTATGTAGCGCAGTGTGCCGCCGGGCCGCGTGTAAAAGATATTATTTTATAACGTGCGCGTGTATAAATAAATAATATCGTACGGTAATAATAAAATAATATAATAACGTATATGCGGTAGAGCGAAAAAATATTGGACGGGATCCAAGAGGGGAAAAAAAAAATCGTTTGCGTGAAATACGAAACGGGCCGGCCTACATTTCGCGGACCGGAGGAGGAATTCTATTTATAGACCGTGCGGCCGGCCGTCCGAAAAGCGCATTACCAGCGGCCGTTTTCCGGGCGAGGACGAAGACCGAGGGGCGGTCAAAGGCGCGCGAGAACTGGGTCGGGTTTTCGCGTGTGCGTGCGTGTGACCCGGTCACACGATGACCTACGGCACGCGGACGGTACGGGTGTCGCCGGATGGGATAAGACCGGAATCCTCGGGATCACACGAGTATTGTTCGTACATTGGAAAAATAAAAAATAAAATTATACCAGAGGAGGTCGATGTCCGTTTGGCGGTGGTTATTTGGCGGCGTAGTTTTTAAAACGATTTTTTTTTTTTTTTTTTTTTGGTTTGGTAAACAAATTGTTGCGCACTTATAAACCAAAAAAAAAAAAAAAAAAAAGTAAATTATGTTAATGTAAAAGCCGGACACTACAAAACTTCGCACGGACGCGGTTTTCGGCGGGTCGACGCGTCAAAACACACACAGAAAAAAAAAAAAACACGAATGCACGAGAGAAAAAAAAAAAAAAAAACACACTTCGAAATAATATAATAATATATTATGTTATATTAAATATGTTCAACATCAGCAACAGCTGAACGTTGTTAGATATCAAACGAAAAAAAAAAACAACCGACAACAACACTGTCTTAATTATGTGTGTCCGAGGTGTGTGAAGATACCTACTCGGCGGTTGAGACGTAGAATGAATGGGATTGTGCCGGAGTTTCGGCATGGTGAAAAACCCTGTTCTCCCACCACGGCGATCGGCACCCGTGAACGTCGCGCCGTCACGCCCGCCGCCCCGCCGCGTCCTCGGGCGTTCTTTCTATTTCGGTAGCGAGTACCGCGGGCGGCCGTCTGCAACGCGATCCCGGTACCCGTCACAAACTCCATGATTGGTCAAACGGCGTCGTCGTCTTGTTCGTCGTCCGGCCGTGCCGCGGCGGCCGCCACACCGTCTCTCCACCGCCGCCGCCGTCCCCTCGGCCGTAGCGGCACCCGGGCTGGGCAGGGTCCATTTTTAGAAGGACCGCCGCCGCCTCGCTCGAGAATAATCGTCATCGTCATCGCCGCCGCCTAACCTAACCCCCCCCCCCGTCGTCGTCGTCCGTCATAAACGCCCGGGGCCGCCCGTCAACGGGATTTCATTTCAATTATTATTATTATTATTATTATTATTACCGTTTTACCTTATTATTATTATTATTATTATTTATTCCGTTTTTTTTTTTCTTTTCGAGAACGTTTAATCATTATTATTATCCGTTTTAATTTTCCCCCCTCGCGAAATCGTTTTCCTCCGAATCCCTCTTATCGTACCGCGACCACCGCCGCCGCCGCAGCCGCCTACCGTCACGCGGCGTCATGGACGACGACGACGGCGACAACGCGACGGCCATGACTTCCATTAGACGGCCGCGCGGTGCACAGGAGCCGAGGGGTTTCGATGCGAAACGCGTTCCATTTCAACGTATCCGTAGACCGTTTTCATCTTAACGTCCCGCTGACGCCGTCCCGCTGCGAAACGTCACGGAAAATACATATTTTCGGCCATCATAACGAAATTGCACGACAATTGTTCCGAATTTTACGACGCCGCCGTCAGTCCGGACGGTCGTTTTCGTATAGGACCCGCGAAGTAACGCCCGGCGGAAATCGCTGCTATGTGCTGTAGGTACGTCATGCGAAAGGACGGTCGCGATTTTTAAAAACGTAAAACAAAAAAAAAATAACGTCTCGTACATATAACGAACGTTTTTTTTTTTTTCGCAAGAGGTATGGATTTTTTGTTCTATTATACACGTATATAATCATAATATTTCCCGCACAAACCGAAATCGTAAACATTTTTTATTTGCTTTTTGTTTTGCTTTTCGAGCAACTGTACTATTTCTATACGATACGAATAACACATAATTACGGGGGAGCCAAGGGAGGCGGCAATGTATTTCGTTTTTCAATCATGTTTTCGGTAAATAAAAGACGCGCGGAACTTTGATCTAACGTACCAGGTGATCCATTTAAGTAGGTACACTATCATTATCTCGGAAAATATTGACTTTTTTCGGAATTTGTTTTCTAGAATGTTCTAAGACACAAGCGTGCTCTACAATTTCATATTTATGATGGAGTAGACATGATAGATATGAATTATTAATTAAAATAATTGTTTGCGTTGAAATTTTAGATTTCTGTCAAGCCGTTGACGAGATATTCCACTTTTAAATTTGGGTTAGAGGAGAGTAGTGGTGCATTGTTATTAACGCGCCGCGTGCCGCCACACAAATGATACTTCACTACTCTCCACCAACTCAATCTTAAAAGTGGATTATCTCGTCAATGGACTGACGGAAATCTAACATTTTAACTAATACTCCACAGATTTGTGGAATTTTTAATATATATATATAGGTTGCCATTTGAAAATCTAAATCAGGTAGTGGTTTCACCCCCAAAAATATGAATGAATGTAAAATTTTAGAGCAGCTTATTGTTTCTTAAATTTTCTAGAAAAAGTACACACTTCCGAGATAATAAGTGTACCCACTTAAATGGATCACCTGCGGGTATAGATGTCTTATAGAAAACATCTAGCATTTCCAGAGGCATTAATTCGTTATCATCGTAAAAGTAAGAGAAAATGTTAAAATTACGGTTTTTCTTCTTTTAATATGCTCCAAGGGCTATAAATTATGCAGTTATTAGAATGTATTTTTTTTTTTTTTCATAGGTAATTATTGAAACGGACCGGTTGTGGTATCTTTTTTTTTTGATTTTCATATAACCTAACCGTGTATGCCGAAAACGTTTATTATTTTTTTGGGGGTAATCGGAGGAGAAGCTAAAAATGCGCGTTTTAATACATTTGGCGTAACGATAGATTTGAATGACCGCTGCCTCATCTGCCGAAAAGCCTGCGCGCACTTATCAAAATATGTATACAAGTCTCTGTGAAAATTAACTTATCTTATAATTTACACGCGTACACGAAACACGCAAATAATTCTAAATTTATGACAAACTACACGTATTTAAATAAAACGCTTAGACTTTCGTTTTCATATTAATAAAGAAAACAAATGTAATACACTCGACGTCACTATAATGCCATAGGTACGACGCGATGAAGTACTGACATAATAATACGGACTTTAATTTTAAATAAATTCGTTTAAAAAAAAGTTGTTTTACGGGTAGTTTTTTTTTTTTTTTAATTCTGGTATACCTACTCAACTTTATCATATTTACGCTGTTGTTCGGTCTATTATTTTCAAGTTGATACTATTGATTGTAACCATCTCCAGTGGCGTAATTTGGGCTACGTTTTGGAGGCCAATTTTTTGAAAATTATATAAAAAAGGATGCTACGCATTTATTAGCTAAGACTTATTATCAAGGGCGACATACATTTTCGAAGAATAAAGGTCATTGTGAATATAATATACATTTAAACAGTTAGTAGATAATCGGTAAATAGAGTTATGCATACAATAACTGCAGATTTATGACGGACCTTATACACTCTTCTTGGCTTCGGAGCCATTTCATTACGCCCTCTGGACATCTATCGGTACGCACATTTCTACGGACTGTCAGCACAGCCAATTCATTTAATTGATTTTAAATTAACAAAATCTCTATTAATTAAGTACGTATTGTTTGTACGGCGTCCTAATTTTCAATTATAAGTACCACTGAAATCGTATTCTCCGTGTACGTTTTGATTCCCTTTAAAGTCGAGAACGATCGTTCGTGCGTAGTAATTGATATAGTAATTAGTACTCATACTTGAATAATAAAAAAAAAAAATGCATATATAAATCCTTATTATGTAAATCCAGTGCACCGATCTGCAGTCTTAGGTATGTAAAACGTGATTTGACCACGATGACGGCGAGGGCGGTCGGGAATCGGGTCACGTTTTATCTACCTGCTTCGTAAATAATATTTTGGTAAATTTTATTACCCGGGTATCCGGCCACAAATGTATAACAAAAAAATATATAATTTTAAATATATTAAAATATATACCTAATATAAAATTAGTCAAATAATTATTTATTTATTTTTTGAAATAATGTGATACAGATTGCTTTGCATAGTATTCAAAAGTGCCGTCAACATACGTCGATTATAACGAACATAAGAAATTTAAATTTGTAGTTAGTTTGTATTCTAACGATTCGTATGGTCCTTTTAATGGCGTTGGTTTTTCACAGAGTTCCTAAATAATAACACGCGTGTAATAATGCGGTCTAGGACAATTTATTGTCGTCGCAGTTTTAACGTAAAGCCACTTCGTTGTTGTTAAAAAAAAAATAATAATAAAAAATACCCGATTAAAAACAATCCAATTCCAGATATGCGTAATACAGTTAGTATAATATTTTGTTACGAAGATAATAACATCTATTGTATTCATGTAGGCGTGCGCAGGATTCTCAATCAGCTGCAGTATAAATTGTAGCATATATCAATAAGTACCTAAGTAGTGAGTAGGTACCTCTGAATGAGAATATGTTTTTTTTTTAACAAATAAATTTTCATGAAATATACCGCTAATTTATTGAAAAAAAAAAAAAAAACTGAAACTTTTACAAAAACACGTGTGTTTAACATACCATATTAAAATTATTCTACATTCTTTAGTGTTGGTGGTTTTGAACCGATTACCAGAATTCAACGTTAATGGTTTTTTTTTTCCATTTTATTTGTATACGTTACGATGATAGAAAATATTCCAGTCTTCCTTCTAACATTGTGTTTCTAAGGTTTGGCTTTGCAATATTTTCAAATATATTCTTTCACGCATAATCTCTCGGATAGTTTAGGTTAAGTTGAAGTATGGATAAGTGGTTTAATATTTAAAACATGAGTTTTCTCCAAGTAAATTATTTCTCTAAACCCATAACCTATATAACCTTTAAATACCTTTAAATAAAAAACCTTACGTATTTTCTTGGGTAAATTACCATTATTATTATTTCCAGATTGTTTTGGTATTCAAACACCCTCTCCCCGCCTTGGTAATATATATGCTAAAAATTATAATTTGTATTATGTGCAGTTGTCCATTAAATTTCTACAGATAATATGTTGTATTACGTATAGATAAATATTAAACATAATATGTATATTATCTGTTATATTCGCACGGTAAAATTACAAAGTTACATCAAAATACAAAATAAAATTCCCCCCTAAAAAAATTACGTCACTGATTATTTTTCAATTGGCATTTAAATCAACAATTTTTTTCTCCAACCCAAAAATCTAAAATTATCAAGAATAAAAAAATAGTCGGTTTTTTTTTTTATTATTACACGTTTATATCCGTAGAGCTATCATAAACGTCTGGCGATTATATTCGCACGTATTATACAACCAATTAATCTTTTATATTTTTTTTGAATCTAAAATAAAAAATCTCAATGTTTTACAATGTCCAATATAGCGATTCGATAAATTTTAAAACGAAATATTGGCGTTACAAATATCTACTATAATAATGAATCATCAAATTTTTTACATTTCGTGAGATCGAATCCATAGTATTCGACTACGCAAAATGGAGACATTTCGTTAAGGAACAAATAACGCGTTATAGATGCCGATACACCTATACGTTACGGTTAATGTTGTAAACTGGTTAAGGTCATTACTCAAACGTATTTTGTGATGTTATTTTTAATCCGGGAATGCGCTGAGTTATTATCAAACGTGAAGGTAAGAACATGGTTTTTTTTGTGATATTTTAATTTTTAAGCCACATTTGATGATTTTTTTTTAATTGTAATATTTCGCATATTCTTAATTCGCTCGAAAATTAAAATATCGAAGAAAAACAACCGAAGCATAATCACAGACAATGTTCTTAACTTTAAGTTTCATAACAGGCCAATTCACTCTGAAGTTAAAACTAATAGCGCATGGTCGAATCTACTAAACGACAATTTGACACTGTCCTATTATTTTCGCTATTAGCCGTAACACCAGTGACGTGTCCAGGAATTTTCAATGTGAGGGGATGTAGTGAATAAGAATCGTAAAATCGTCTTCTTTATCCTATTCGACTATGGGAATTAACAATTAATTTAAAAGCTGAATCCTAAAAAATGGACAATTCCCAATTAATATATAAAGTTGTTCCTCGTAAGTTGGCTGAAATATAATATCCATTTTTTTATTAAATTTCTCGTATTTTTAAACCGATGGGGGATATAACCTCTAACCTGCATACGCTACTGTGTAATACACTCGTATATGATAAGTATCTACACTTAACACTTTAAATATACCTAAACCCAAATCATCCGTCAAAATTTTCGCCTAACGTCCACCACCAGCAAAGACCACACCGTCTGGTATGGGGCACAACCGACCGATCCGACCGTTCATCCACGTAAATTTAAATTAATTTAAAACAATTCTTTTATTAACAATTCGTTTTACGTACAAAGCTGAACATAAATACAAAAATGCATTATTATTTTAAGACCTGACCAATTATTTTTTCACCACAATTTATAACGACGATCAGAGGCACCTGGTTTCAAAAATGTCATGGTTGGCTCAATATTTTATAAATACATGTACAATTTTACCTGAATCTTGTTGTATAATCGGTGGTTCCTAATTGCGGACAAAGTAATAAAAACTATGGCAGTTGCGGACGAAACCTTAAAGGTGACATACGAAATTGCGGACACACTACCTGTGGAATTTCCAATCATTATTTTTGATATAACGATTATGTTAATTATCGATGATTAGTATATATATATAATATGATCGATTCAATTGGACTGATTATCTATTAGCGTTAAGATTGTGAGTTAAGCTTTCGGGACGACTGCCAAAAACTATTATTAATCAGTTTAACGACGATCTTACTCGTGTCTGGTACTACACTGTTTAAATATCTCTCGGTTTTTATTAAATATTAGTGAAAAACTTAAAGATTTACGCGTGATTGACAGTTTTAAGTTCCGTTTCCACCGCATATTAAGCAAATATTTTCAACCCAGCCTACCAATTTTTATGTCCGCAACGCGCTTTGTTAGATTTACATAACTTGAGTCCACAGTTAATATTTTGATAACAATATCCGTTGTTTCGTATGTTATGACATTTTAATACTACCAGCATCATAAGACAAAAAATAAAAAATGCCAGACATCAGACACCAGTTAACCTGGTTGATTATCAAAATCTACACTTTTTCTCAGCTATAAATATATATGTAAAAAAAAAAAAAAAAAAAAACATTTATGTTCCTCATTTAATTTTTTTTAAAACCGTGTGGTGGTGGAGTTGGCTACGGCCTCAGAATCCCTCTGTTCACGGCGCTCCTGACGACGATAAGTTACCCGTTACTTTTTGGTTATTCTATCGACACGCGATACGTGATAATATTATATCATGTTATATTGATGGTTATTAAATGATAACATCCAACGGTGACGGCTCACAAGAAAACCGTCACGTGCAGCCGTTTAACGTGTTTTCTAGCTTACTGCACAACACTGGAGACTATTAAAATTATATTATTGTCAACTTCTGCGGGGACACGTCTATTTTCGTAAATTATGTACACGGCTACGACGATGACGACGACGACGACGACGATCTGCAACATTAAAGAAAATAACGCTGTATCGTGGCGATATTCTTCGCACGATGCACGTTAAGCTAATTAAAAATAATAATAATATAATGTATTAAATTTTATATTTTTATTCTGTCGGCTAACAGCCCGGGATTCTAGGCGATTTAGTTTAATCGTTTATTTTTGTGTGCGCGTACGCGTAATGTATTTCGTATTATGGATACTTCGTCTTTTTACAAATAAAAAAAAAAAAAAAAAAATGATTACACAAAATCTCGATATCATATTTTTGTTTTAATATACGGCCGTTTTGCACAATTGATATTAAAATATTACAATGTTATCAATTATACAATGTTTAAAATCCGTTTTCTGAAATATGTTTTTTTATTTCATCTTGTACCTACCTATTATTATAATGCAAGTTCGTCGTAATTGACGGGATTAAAATAAAATACGATATAACGACATTACAATTATTATAGTTTTCGATATCTCAATAATTTTGTTTTTGTTTTTTACCAAAATTGCAGTGTACAGTAGATAAAAAAATAGAAAGAAAATAATATTATAAACTATACGTACAGTATTATAGTAGGTTCCTACATCTACGTATATTAGGTATAATAAGGCAATGGTTTATGAACGGCGAACGGTCCGAGAGCCTTGAGGATTCTATAATTAAAGAGTACCCAAGATTCTAAATTTAAGCCTTTATATCTCATCGCCGACGAGACACATGCTGATGCTGTGCACTTTAATTAGAGTCCGCGTACGAACGGCCTTACGAATTCCTCTATCAGGATCGTTTGCGCATAGATACCGCTAAATTGTAAAGAGCTGGTGAACAGAATTCGAAACGGTAGACTATAATGATTAGTATACTCAATATTATATTGTAACAATAAATCCATTTTTGTGTTCAAACAAACTTGAACGACAATAATATTGTACTACAGTGTATGTTAGTAGAAATTAACTTCATCAAATGTTACATTTTTTAGTTATCAAACAACAATAATACAATACGGGGTGTCCCGAACTCTCTCCGAATATCAGACAAATGTAACAACTTTTGTTGTGTTCGATGTTTTTAAGTTTTTTTTTGTAATAATTAGAACGCTTAAAATTAAAGTTTAAATGAAACATAACGAATTTATGGGCCCACTTTTTTTTCCTCATCACAAACTTTTATGAAATATTCAAATATTTTTGAGAAGAAAAAATTGTATCCATATAAAATTAAAAATATTATAAAAATAGCTTTCAAATAACTATAAATAAATTAAACAGAACCAAAATATGTTTGAAATTATAGAAATTAAGAAGAATTATGAAATTCAACATAGTACTGATATAAGTGTACAAAAAAAATTTCAGGTGAGTAAGAGTACTTTTTTATATAGAAACCAGTTTCCCCGATGATTAAAAAAAGTAAAAAGAAAACCCACACGGAACAAGTTTAATGCGCCAACCAGACAAAATTGTCTACCAAAAATCACTCTTGGTGTTGATCGGAGAAAGATTTCCTGAGTAAATTTGTTAAAAATTAAAATATTATTAACCTTTGTATTTATTTATTTTTATTGTAAATATATCTTGGTAAAAATAAAGCTCTCGGGCGGAGGGAATTTATCCTATTTGCCCTCTCAAATGCACCACCGCTGCGTAAACAGAACACCGAGAAATGATATTTTTGACATGTAAAAAAGAATCGGATATCGAGACCTAATCTCTCCTAACCTAACCGAGACTGTTTAAATTTAACAATGTTTTGACAAATAAAATACGTAGAAAATGGGAATGGGTAGATCAATTGCGTCATCTGTTAAAAAAATAATATATACACCTAACGCTATGATAAAAAAAAAAAATCTGTACAAGATACGCAACGGGGAATGATCTGTTCCGTCATCATACCTCATGAATACGTCACCACCGAAACGAGGAGCGCAAAACACGTCGATAAATTTAACTTTACATATTTGTATCTGTACGCACTGATCTTTACGATCACGAGCGGAAACGTCTGTCAAACCCGCAGAAGATATTGGCCTGCGATTGACGAAATGTGAAATTCACGAAATTAATCGAGCCAAAACAAAACCGTATACTACTCCAATTAAAATGTTTAAAGGCTGCATAATTAATTTAAAAATTAATTATGCATTGTTTGTATCTGAGCGACTATTAATCATTGCTAAACAAAAAAACCGAAAATCGAATAAACAAGTTTTGTTAAACTCGAATTGAATATGATATCCATTTGTGTTTTAAAAGTATAAATTACAATAAGTCTTTTTTCGGCGTCTCAGTGTTTGGGCATTGTTATGGAAAACAATACGCGAAACGCCGTGATTTTTGAGATTTTCGTTAAAGTTTAAACTTTGAATGCTCAGAAAAAAAAATCTACTGCAATATTGAACACAAAAAAAAAAAAACTAAAAAAAATATCGATAATTTTAAATCGCCTGTAGATAACTCGGCAACAATACCAGTATGGTTTAAACAATTTACCACATCATACCGATGAAAAAGGTTTAATTTAAAATATATTCTGCGAACATTCCCGGTTTTCGACGTTATTTTCCGATTATTAAAAATACTCGCAAAAAAAAAAAAATAAATTAAAAAAACTACTTCCACATTTGTATCAAGTTTCAGAAATTGGTGTTTGGAACTAGATTGGTGGTAAAAAAAAAAAAAAAGTGGTTCACAGACATAAAACATCGCAGTAAAACTAATACGTTTGCTATGTTCCGTGTTCTAAAATTACCTTTTCTAAGTGTAAAATGTAAATCAACTATTATTAAACCTGATTCATTATATAATTAATGCAATTTTCTCTGTTTAATGCAAATGTGTATCTACGAGAATAAATCAAGTGGGAAATCGTTAGTTATAATTTTAAAATTATTATTAACAATTACACAGTTCATAAACTGTGCAATTCGACCGTCATCAAAACGTTATACGAATACGTGTTTCACAGCACTTTCGTCGTAATTCTTGTCGGAGTTAATATTTTTTTTTAAATTAATTTTATGAATTACATGAGACGCTTACACTGAGCGACCGACCGGTAAGATTCAAAAACATAAAAGAGTCGAAAATACTTTACGCCATAGGTATAAAGAAAATTTACATTTATCGAAAGCAACGCTGTATCGTTGCTATCAAAATCAGTTATGAGCGGAGCTTTGTGAACGGGTAAGATTATAGTACAAATCCCGTTGTAGCCAAAGGATCCGACCGAAATCGACAAAATTAAAAACCTATTCATCACTCGTTGTTATTAAAAAGACAGTCGGGAATATAGACTAATGTTTCAAATAAAGTACCACCGGTCGAAAAATATGCGTCTTTCAATGTAGACATTTCTGAGCACATTTACTTACCGAATGAGCGAAAAAAAAACAACTCGAAAAAGTGATCTAGAAGGAGGGGGGCGAATTTTGAAAAAAATATTTGTGTCGAGTACAATCACAAATCACGAAAACTGCATTTTTTTATGGTACGGCGTGTGAAAAAATCGGAAAATTCTTCACACGTCATATCCGTAAAACTATATAATAGCTGATACTTCGTTACACGCAGAATCTAAGAAAATGACTATAGATAGATAATCGCGACGAAACCCCTTTTCTGTTATATTTGCGTAGGCGTATAATAGGCACGCATTAACTATTTACATAGCAGTATGCGCAGCGATTTCTTTGGTGTAATTATGAAAATGCGTTTTTCGCTTTATACTTCAATCGCCGTGTACTCGATGTATAAATAAACCGATAAACATTATCATTATATTTACCCGGAATAATATTTTTATTCGCTATATTATTGGCACTCCACACGATATTGACTTTTGCTAAATAAACGGCCGGTCTTGTTACATACGCATATTACGAAAACATTTGATAAGCCAAAACTCGCCTGTGTTCGTGATTTTGGCTACTTGGGTTTCCGACCGTACATTTTTGAACACCTCATGGAATATTTTCATATTCAATACATTTTTTTACTTCCCTTTTACATTTTTAAAAACAAAACGTTGTTCATTGTAAATTCAGGTGTATATAATGTCGAACATACGTGTATGTTATGTCACAATTTTTTGTCGGATACCTAAAGAGTCGGAGAATTTTTCTCGAAGGAAAAATCAACTTGCGAAATTGAGAGCCTTTACCATCCACCCACGACCCACACAATTAAAATTTTAATCCACCAATAAGCCTTTTACATACATTTTATTCTATAATGTTTTTTGTGTAGCTTAATTTTAGATTCTTTGTTATGCAGTTGACCTGGGATTTCAGCATTGGTTATACAAATACAAACTAATCACTAAACATAACTATAAAAAAATATTGGAATAAAGAAGAATTATAATTTCTTGATGATGGGGGCTGGTGAGAGGAACGTCTATTAATGGTTTCATTACTTTCAATTGTGTATTTTTTTTTATTGCGGTTCGGCTAAAAATAATCGTCTTGACATTTTCACAAAATATTTAAATTAGTTTCTTCTAGATGTGATAAAAATTTCAAAACATTCTGGCGATTTTTGAGCTATTTATAGACATTTGACATTTTCGATGTTTTTGAGTTTTTATTCGGTTTTAAGCGGACAAAATTGTCTGGCCGAAAAATAATGCTAGACAGTTTAACACGAGATACAATATAAATTGTGATAAAAAAAAATTTAACATATTGTAACATAGTAGTTTTTTTATAAGCCCTTTAAGTTCAAATTTTGATGAAAATTGTAAAAATTGTGGCTTAATTGTATAACATGTTTTACATGTATAACCGAACTTCGCTCAGAAACGTATTTCATCAGCAATAATTCATCTTTAAATACAAATATAAATTAATCAACTCTATATACGCTACCTCACAACATTTTCATCTAAACAATGACCCGCTTATCAGCAGTTTTAGTTACAATTTTTCTACCAAAAATCTCGATCCATTCGAAAACTTTGTCGGGTATTTCTTATGTAATTTTTTTATCCAGTTGATGTTTTGCGGAAGAATTTTTGAATTTTCTCTGTAGTCTTTCTCTTAGTAATGGTTTTCTGTCCGCAGTTTTGTTAAATCGGCTTGCGAGTTTTTGCCGAATAGCCGGCTATATTTTTTATATCCAACGCAATACAATACAACAGTTACAAATGCTACCGGTGTATCTATTGGAGGTATCGGCAAGAATTCGAACGGACGGCAAGGAAAACGAAATGAAAATTTAATAACTCGGACTGTAACTGGAACCGAATTGACCACGGAGCCAAGAAGCTCCAGCCTCTCAAATATTCAAGGCTCCGAGGAGGGTTTCCCAATCAAAATCAATTCATAATATTTTGTTTTTATCGAAAATTTTCAAATCAAAATTGTATTTTCGTTTGGCTCCATGTCGATAATATAATATA